ACAAAGATTTGAGACCATCCTACTAAACACTCAGATTTGTTGTAGATGAGTTTTTCTCCTACTGTAAATATCACCATCATCTTCTGGGCTAGTGACAGTGGCAGAAACACTTACAGAAATACCTAACGAAAGTAGGTCCAAAAGGACATTGGGTAATTTGAGCTAGTTTGAATTACTAGGTTTCCATGTTTGGGCCAAGGGTCCCATCATAAAGTAGTAGCAGTAGGATTCCCAGCCCTGTGCCCCTCACAAACTGCAGCTGGAAGGCTGACAATACCTCTATCAGCACTGTAGCAACTGTGCATTCACTACAATAACAATTTGCAGCCTGGCTGTCCTAACGAGTTTTGAAATTATTATTGCTAAAACTATACTGCATTCCATGGGAAATACGAGACACATGTTGGAGTGGAAAATGCTCCTCAGCCAGTCTGTTAGTTGCCCAGGTGACAGTTCCTGTTGCAGTTCCAGTTGCTTCTGTTTCTTAGAAATGGCTGGTCACTGTGATGCATACTGTAAAACCCAATCAAAGACAGCCAAATACTCTACCTCTGTATTTCCCCTTTACAGACCTCATAAATATCTCCCTGCCTGGGCCTTCATGGCCTGACATTTAGAGGGGCAGTTGATTCCCTGTCAGTGCCTGTTAACGTCAAAGAAATCTGCCTCAAAATCCCAGGTGTCTTTTCAATGTTTCTGTTTGCTATTGCACTATGATTATGAAAATTTAAATGAAATTATATATTAAATACTCTTCTGGTATTTGCTCCTTTCAACTATTCTAAAACGATGTTTGGTTTGTGGTTAGTCTTAAGCAGATCAGGTAGAAACTTTTTCAGTATTGCCCAATTGTTCTATGGGCCAATGTTGATGTAAAAATTTAATGTGATCATTCACAGTATTAAATATGAGAACACAAAACTCACCAGCTGGTGGTGCACAAGCCAGGGTGGCCTCAGGGACTTCCTGGCTGGTGCAGAACCCTGGGAGGTAGCTTTCTGAAAGGGTCTCTAGGGTGGGAGGAATCAGGTTGTACTGACAGATGTGGACCGTGAGACCTCAGCTTCCTACCCTATCCTCTGCCATTATGCCTCTGCAAGTTCTCAAAATCACTCATAGTATGTAGACCTCAACTGTGCTGTGACCAATATATTTTTGTAAATCATATTTGTCTGTTATGCTTTTTGCTGAAAATAAAACTCTTAGAGTACAGAGACAGAGGATAACTCAGTGTTCCCTATACACTTGGCCTAGAGACGGATGTAGCATCAACTTCATAAATAACAGATATGAAACTCACAGGCAAGACTCACTGGGAATTTCCACACTGAATTCCCTTGCAGTTGTACTGTGCTTGCATTGCCACCAACAGTGTGGAAGAGTTCCTTTCCCCCCACATCCCCACTAGCATTCCTTGTTATTCCATTAAAATTCAGCTATCTTCCTTCTATGCATCTCTCCAGAGTTAAATTCATTGTATTGTACAGATGTACACATTTTCATGTTCATAGCAGCAATCTTGTACTAGTTAGATCTTGGAAACAATATCTGTGTCTATTAACAGATGACTGGATTTAAAAATGTGGTATCTATACACAATAAAGTACTATGCTGCCATAAAGAAAGATACACTCAATGCATTTATAGGCAAGTGGATGCAACTTGAGATCACAATGTTAAGTACAATATGTTGGACATATAAAGTTAAATATCACATGGCTTTTCTTGTATGACAAAGAAACAAGTAACAAATAGAGATGGGGGCAGCAAAATGGGAAGTGTGGAAAAGTTAAAAAAAATCCCCCAAATTATCCATGTTGTTTTTCAAAAATATCTTAAAATATATGCCAATCAACTAATTATGGCAGCTTACACTGATCTTGGCCATCCTAAGGAAGTGACAGTGTGACTCTGTCAGGGACCCTCAGGTTCCAATAGGGCTGTATGACCGGGGACATAGGGCATGAGCTGCCAGGGTGCTGATGTGTAGGGGAATCCCACTCCGCTCAGAGACTGGAAGCATGGTTGTTCCTCCAAGCCCTGCCCTCTCTCTGGCCCCAAATCCCATTTTTAGGTACTGAATTATGGCCCCAGACATTTAAACCTTGAAGGTATATTCCAATGTGGGTATTTTTAGAGAAAGGACCTACCAGATGCAAGTAACAGTTAAATGAGATCATACAGGTTGGTACTAATCTCACAGCACTAATGACATTAGAACAAGAGATAGGAAAGAATCCTCTCCACCCTGCTCATGGCCATAGAGGAAAATCCTTGTGAGGACACAGCAGAAAGATGAGAAACTGGGAAGAAGGCCTAAAACGAAATGGACATCTGAAGGACCTTGATCTTATTTTTTGTAACATCAAGAATTATGGAAAAAATAAAATGTCTCTAACTTAAATTGCCAAGTTCAGGTTCTTTGGCCCCTATGGCAGTTTTGGCAGGCCGGTTCCCCATCCCAAACATTCTGTAGCAGGATCAGCCTCGGGAGGAACCTGGTGGATGTGCAGATTCAGCTTTGCTCCTAGCCTGCCCTGATTCTCGGGATGACTGTTGAGGAAGTAGAGCCAGACTTCATCCTCGGTGGATTAGCACTGAACTCACTGCAGGTGAAGCTCTCATTCACTTTGGTGTCTGACCAGAACTGTATGCATGCTTGGTCTCAGTGTTTGAAGATGCTCATGATTCCTGCTCACGTGTTTGCCAGGAAGAACTTTGTGTGCATCCCTTTTGCTCAGGCTCCATCCGTGTGTCCCATGGAGAGGGTGTGTCTTCCACAGTGTTAAAGTATCAGCCGCATCGGCCGCTCACGTGAGGAGTGACAATCCTAGCTCTCCTGCTCCTCCTCACACACTCTATTGCCTGCACAAGTTGACAGCTTGAGTCAGCAAGGTGGGTCTGGAACACAGCCCACCCTGGCCTTTAGCACTCAGGGAAAAATGTCCAGCCTCCTGTCACCACTCAGGTGCAGTTTCTTCTGCCCAGTGAGGGCTGAGGTTCAGGTCTCTGGAGGTTTCAGAGAAACCGGCTGGGCACAGCTGTGAGATCACAACCTCTCTCTCCACCCCATGAATCCCCACTGACAGGACACCTGCAGCTCTGAGTGCAGAATGTAGTGTGTTCTCTGCCCTTTTGCTCTGAATTCATCAGGTCAGCTTACTTTTACTCCATACCTGGCTGTCCACATTTTCAGGGTTAGTCCTTTGTTCTCTCACACATCCTGCCCACTTTTATTTATTTATTTATTGTTTGTTTGTTTTGTTTTGTTTTTTTGGTTTTTCTCCGGTACCGGGAACCGAACTCACGACCTTGCGCTTGCCAGGCAGGCGCTTTTGCCGCTGAGCTAAATCCCCAGCCCCCTGCCCACTTTTAATCCATTCTTTCTCTTGCACTCTTTGAATACTTATGGTAGACTTACCATTAATGAATTGTGCTTAATGCAGACCAGAAAGCAAAACAACAGGTATTCAGTACGTTGTACATGGGAGTTGTGTGAACAGAGTCCCTGTAGACATGTGCTGGGCAGGGACACCCACACTGTTCCCAGCCTGATAGGAATAATATATTATGAAGTATTTGAGGTTAAAAACTTTAACTTTTCTTACTCAGTATTCTCTTCTGTACTATGTAAAATGTGCATCACTCTCCTACCACTAGGTTAAATATCCGACACAGACAAGTTTATACAAGAGAGTTTTATTGGGCTCGTGGTTTCCAATGGATTCGGTCAATGGTTACTTGTCTCCAAAGCAGAAATGGCATGGAGGATGGGCACAGGGAAGAAAAGCTGCTCATCCCACTGAAGACAGGAAATTAAGATAGAGAGGAGGAGCCTAGGACAAGAGCACACCCTTCCAGGTCACAGCCATTGTGACTGCATCTCAACCAGGCTCCACCTCTGAGATTTTTCAGGGACATTTTAGATCTAAACTAATAAAGCATAAGGATTGTGTCACAGAGGCTCTGACTTATACACTAAAGACGCAAAACAACACAGAAATTTTTAAAAATCTCCAATATTAGAAATACTTCTCTGTGTAGACATTGAAATACTTATAATAATGATAATACCAGTTCATCCTAAGTGGGTAGGGCAATTCATACAGCTTGTGTAAAAGTGTCAGCTACTTTTTGAATTACTTTTAACCTAATGTTCTAATTAGAACGAAATACAGAAGACAGAGAATAGACAAAATAATAATGAAAGTAAAATAAAATTATAAGCCTCACATTTTCTGATTACAATTTTTTACTTTCTACCTTCTTTTTCTGATAGTCCTGGGGATTGAAAGGATATTCATTAAATTGCATGTATCAAATTGTAACAATTGATAATCAGGAATTTTACATCCACTGTCTGGGGCATAGAATTACTTCTGGTTTTGTGTTGACTGAAAATAGGTTACCAATTGGCTATCTGGAAGAGGCACTTATTTTTCTTCTTGCCAAGGCTTTCATGGATTTATGGCTTTATGTCCTAGGGAAAAGCATATTCTAGTATATGCATCTAACTTTCTACTACACTTATCCTGGTAACACTGGACACTAGACAGCTAATTAGCTGGTTCAAGGATACATTTTATTTGGAGGCGGTATACCCTGCAGGACTGTGAAGATACCTGCCACTTTTTCCCAAATTTCTCTGGGTGAGAAATAAGCAAGGAGGTCATTTACCTTCGAGATTAACCCTAAACACTGATCCCCATATGACTAAGAAGCCTGAGAACGGCCAATGCAATGTCACGTGTCCCTGATCTAAACTTCTTTTTGTAGAACCTTCTTCTCATTACTGATGGCTACTTTGACTGAAACTCTAATTGTGTCATTTTAAGGGACATGTGACGTCACTTTGCTCACAGGGCAGGTCCGCCTCCTCCAGGTGTCGCTTTCCATTTCATCTACTACGCTGTCTCACAGCAGGGCAACTCCCAGAGGATTTGCATATTGTCCTCTAGATTAAACCTTCGTTTGCAAGCCTGAGATAAAAGCTCAGCTCTAACCTTTCGTTGGCTGACCTAGATCCTCAGTTCAGCTTCTCAGCATGAGGTTTCCTGCTCAGCTCTTGGGGTTGTTAATGCTCTGGATCCCTGGTAAGATCAGAGATAGATTAGGAGTGTGTGTGTGTGTGTGTGTGTGTGTGTGTGTGTGTGTGTTTAGGGGTCCTACCATTTGTCAGACTATTCTGAACATATGTGTGAGTCATATGTTCTTTGCTTCAGGGAAAGGATGTTCATCCCTGTGAGAATTAAGGACCATGTAAGAAAGGCCAGGGCTCTAATGAACATCTTGATTAAGATAAAGGTACCTGGGCTATGTAAATACGTCAATAATATTTTGAAAGTTGATGCTATGAATAAGAATTATTGTCTTTAAATAAATAATAGGAGGAATGTCACAAATCTTGTCACCATGTTTGGAAATGACCTAGCTTCTCTCTGTCATTATTTCAGGATGCAGTGGGGAGGCAGTGTTAACCCAGTCTCCACCCGCCCTGCTCATCAGCCCCGGAGAGCCGGCCTCCATCTCCTGCAGGTCCAGTCAGAGCCTCCTGCATAGCAATGGAAACACCTATTTGCACTGGTACCTGCAGAAGCCAGGCCAGTCTCCGCGGCTTCTTATCTACAAGGTTTCTAACAGAGACTCTGGCATCCCAGACAGGTTCAGTGGCAGTGGGTCAGGGACGGATTTCACTCTTAAAATCAGTAGGGTAGAGGCTGAGGATGTTGGAGTTTATTACTGTGGGCAAAGTACAAAAATTCCTCACACAGTGATACAGCCCCGAACATAAACCTCCCTGGGTGGGGTGGCCCAGCTGCCCTCATGTGCTGCTGTCTGGGGAGCAGCACTGCAGATGTTCTCCGTCTGTGTGACAGGGAAGTGGTCAAGAAGCCAGGGTACTCGCTTCCCCTGTGTGCTCGCCTTCAGCTCTGCCTTTGCATTTGAAGTCCTGATCTTCTGCAGCCGCCAGAAATCAAAGAAACTATAGGAGAGGGACTTGGTCCCTGGACCTGTGGGCAACCTGCAAGGATGGCAGGGACCATTCAGTGAGAGCTCATCTTGGTCCTCCTTGCCTTCCCAGCATTGTCAAGGAATTTTACTCAGCATAAGAACAGCGGATGTGGATTAGTGACAACAGAATTAGAAGGCACTATGGAACTTACCAACTTGCATATTTTATAAAGCATAATATCAGTAATATGGGGAACATGGTATTTTACATCTGATTTAGTGTCCTACATTTCCTTTAAAAGCACACAAAAGTTTAGGTCGGTGTGCTTGCTGCTCCCCAATGAAATCACCCAAGCCATTTATTTTGGTGAAAGGGCAAAAGGCTTTATTCCAGAAGTCACTTCTCACTGTTCCCAGATATGCAAGGGCTCCTTATAGTAAGGAAGAGCAGGGTGAGGAACCACAGTGACACAGTAAAGAACTCTGCACTTGTTTCATCGCTCCAGGGCCCTTTTCCTGCCCCTTCCCTTTCCTGTGGAGTGGACTCAGCCCTCCTTGGCACAGCACCTGATGGTTGTGCCCATGCGTCTGGGCTGTGGAGAGGAGGAGGTGCCCCTTATGCCTTCAGCCTGACGAAGTTTGGGAAGTGACTTTTCTCTAAAAGAAAAAAATAATCTGTCAGTTAAAGCAGGGGTTGTCAACACTTTTAGCCCCAGGGACTGACTGCATGAAAGACAATCTTTCCACGGATGGAAATGGGGCAGACAGGGATGGTTTTGATTCTTAGGAGTTCACAGTATAGATTCGTGGCATACACAGTTCACAGTAGGGTTCCTGCTCCCGGGAGAATCTGATTCCATCACTGGTCTGACAGGAGGCCACACTGGGGATAATGATAGCAATGGAGAGCAGCTGTAAATGCAGAGGAAAGTCTCTGCCTCGGCTGCCTGCCTCTTATGCTGTGCGGCCTGGCTCCTCACAGAAAGCTACAGGTCCCTGGCCCTGGGACTGGGGACCTTGCCTTTATAGTTTAATTTTGCCATGCTAGTTCCACTTCAATTACCATGTTTGACAAAGGTTTTTACACAAGCTATCCTCAGGAAGAGTAGAGCTGAGAATAAGTGGTAAAACAATATTAATTTTAAGTATCCAAATATGCTTTTGCAAATTTGCAACAATTATAAGATTATAGTGTTAATGGTCTTTGATTCCATTCAGTTACCTTTTGTTGAGTGAAAGAGTTCTAAAACTGCAGAGTGGGTTTCCAAAATAAACAACATAAAGTCACAGAGGGAAAAAATTAAGTTGTCCTGCATTTAGGACCACAGTGCTATAAGACAATATTTCAAATATAAACATGCAGTATTTTAAGTGACATAATGATTACATTAAGTGAATCGTACTTTTTTATTTTAGCTATATTGAAAAATTATGCTTTTCACCTATTCTGATGGAAGCACTGCTCTAACAGTTGCACATAATATTTGTACATTGTATCTAACCTAATAACGGATCATAGCCCTTCTTCTCTTAGTGTGGTGGTATAAGGAACTTCAAGAATGTGAGAAGTACCAGAATAACAAGAGCTTGCTTCTAATTAGGGATACAAAACGTATTGATGATGTCTGTTTAATCAAAAACAGTGTAATCCAGGGCAGGTGCAGTTGAATTCACATTGTGTCATTTTGTTTGCTTTTACAATCGTCAGATTTTCTAGCTACAGAAAATGTGGAATTATCTCTATTATAAAATAGTCTTTTGTCTCACTCATTTTGTTTAAAAACTGTAGTGAGTTATCTAATTTTATCTTCTATCCATTGCTTATCAAAGTTTTTTTGCTTATCATTATACAGGGCATTTCTGACTATTATATCTGTTTTTCTTCTATTTTTATAAGTACTTTTTTTCTTATGGACCACTGGCATTTGATGTTAATTTTTTTTAAAATAGTGAATTATCTATTAGATTATTATTGATGCTTTTCTTTTATTTGTATATGTACTTTTTCATTTCGTATCTCTTGTATTTGATGTTAATTTTTATACAGAAAATTCCAAAGTATATTTCAAATATATTTTCAATAAAGACAAGAGTGCCATCTTACTTTTTTTGTGAAATGACCATACTACTTTCTTTGTCTTTTATCCTAGTGTTATATTAAATTTTAAAGTCTTGCATGTCTCATATAAAATCTAAATTTATATGGTAACAAGAAAGTCATTTTAGATAACTTTACACCGTTACATTGGGAAGCCATGAACTTACGTCATTCTAAATCAAGTAAATATTAAAAAAAAACATGAGAACAACTTACAGCAGGAAGCCAGGGTGCTTACTTTATACATCCTGAACCTATGGAAGAGGAGGGCATGGAGATTATGTGAGAGCCAAATGTCCCTTAGGTGGTAATATGGTTACCATGGTTACTTGTAAATGTATAGAAACCCAGTACAAAGTTTACTGGTTGTGGACATCTTGGTTTCTGACTCTCGGTCAGTGTGCCAGTTGTGTGCTTCAATAAGGCTCTGTTTGTTCCCACATTTTCAGCTTCTCATGAGTACCTATGTCATTGAATCTTGCCATAACAATATAACTCTCAGAGATAAGGCTGCCAGTCATTGTTGAATGGCTTGTGCTTTGAGCATCCAGCTACCCAGCCACATGCGCTGCCCGCCTGAAGGAACAGCATGGGAAATGCTGCCCATGCTGAGTTCTGAACATAAAATTTTCTCCCTTTGGTGCCCAGAGCAACCACTCATCTCCCTAGCACCTGCTGCTTTGTGTCCCTAGATCCACTGAGAGCGATCGGTGTTCTCTGCAGTGGGCAGGCCAGTCCTGAGCCCTACAAGAACAGCCTGGGACCCTGAACTTCCTGACACTGAGACTCTGGAATAAAAATGGGCATAGGGGTAGTACAAGAGCCACTGGGTTTACCTGCTAATGTTCAATATATTAAAGTTTAAAATCAAACATTATGCCATCAAATAAGGTTGTATATATATTAAAATAAAATATTCTTCTTTCTTTCATTATAACAAAATAACTGAAACTGAATATTGAATGAAGAAAAGGGGATTGTTTAACTCACAATTTTGTGGCTGAAAGTCTAGGATGATGCAATACCATCTGTTTGTCCTTGAGAAAAAATTCTCTGTCTGTGTCACAATGTGTTTTATAGGTAGAAAGGAGCCAGCTGCATGCTGAAGTGGACAAGCATAAGCTGTCTTCTCATTGTATAACAACCCACCCTCTTGAGCACTCACTCACTCTATGTGGCATGCAGAAACCCTTCCAGGCTTTTTCCTTTTTGAGATCTGGACCAAAGCCTTGTGGACCCCACAACTCCTGTATTCTGTTATTCTGTATGCTGATAAAACCAGTACCACATGGCCGATGTAAAGGTCTACTGCTGGTTGGAGCTAAAGCCAGGATATATGTATGTATGTATGTATTGGCCATAGGGATCCATTGCCAAGAACAAAGTTTTATACAATTATCGTATTGGAACATGGTGCTCTGTGAAAATTGACAACAAACACTAATCAGGTGGAAATGTTTCAGAGAACAGGGAACAGGCTGCTTTGTGTCCCTAGACCCACTGAGACTCAGAGATCAAATAAGTTACCTGTGTCAGTTTCCTGTAGGTCCAGAAAAACATCACCTTCACTTCATTGCCTTTGAGCAACACAAAATTATTGTTCATAGTTCTGGAGCTCAGAATTTACCCTGAGATAAAATCAAGGAGACAGGAAGGCTGTGCTCCTTCTGGTGCTGGACAGTAAAGATTCTGCCTTTCAAATTCCAAGATGCTCCCACGTTCTCCCATTCATAGCCCCTCCTCCAATCAGTCCATGTCTATTTGTGTTATCAGATCCCCCCTCTGATTGTGACTTTCCTCCTGCCTATGATCAGAATTGCTGTGATCGTATTTGTCTCACACGGATAATTCCTGCTCCTTTCCCAAACTAAAAATCCTTGTCTTGATCAATCGTAGCTGCCAGGTTGCTTTTGACATAGAAGGTAACTCACATAGGTTCCACATATTAGGACATGGGTGTCTCTGGAGGTGTTATCCATCTATCAACAACTGTTACCATTAGCCCCAAATGATCATATCTTAAAGTGGAATAAAATTCAGAAGGCAGATGTTTAAAACAAGAGAGCAGGATGAAACATAATGTCAGGGTCCTCTTTACTGTGGGGCTTAAGCAATGGGGGTGCTTTTTCAGTTCCTCTAATTTGTATTTCATTATGTGCAGGAATTTATTAGAAGTTTCTCTAAGTTTCTAACCCAGAGAAAGGAATTAATGTTAAATCAAATCTAAGGGAGACTGGTTAAAAAAATTAAATGTATCTGTAATTTTCTTAATATTTCTGCTGATGAATAAAGCAGTAGCAGAAGACATCAGAGCAGAGATGTCCTCCAACAACATGCATCTCTTTACTTCTATACTGCATCCAAGCACAAGGATTCCTGTGCATGCTGTTGCTGCTTGCTACCAAGTCTCCTTGACCGTCAGTGCCCTGGAAATGCAACAGGATTATCATCAGGCTTCAGCACAAAGGTGTCAGTTTCCTGTAGGTGCCAGGGACAGTGGTGTACACATCAGTAAGTTTTCCTCAGACTACAGGGCAGTGATGCTGAAGACACATCTGTTTCCACTTTCCTTGCTGTTGAGCTGGGCTGAGAGGGCCAAGGCAAAGACACAGGTGCTGCAACTACAGTTCAAATTTTATCAGGACCCAAGATATTTCTTGCTGCACATCTTCACTGGATCAAAAGGAGATAGAGACCTCTTCTTGGGAAGCACAGAGTGATGTTCCTTTCTGTGTCAGGATGAGTTCCCCATCCACTGCTGAAGACAGAAATAAGATGGGGCCCTGATGGTGCCCTGTAGAGACCTATAGTGAGATTTTCATGTAATTTATCACATCAGGTACCTCCCCTCTGCGTGCCAATGAAATGTGGGAAATCATTCCAAATGGCACCAATGATGAAGAATACTGGAGCCTGCAGATCAGTAATAGGATACAGCCCAGTCAGTCTCTAGCTGTGAGAGAGCCATGTTGCTTTGAGTAATGATGAAAGTGTGCGTGATGCAATAAGTAGAGATTCCTGTGTTATCCGTGTGCATCTGAGCACGTTTCCTAACTTCATGCTGCTCATGACAGTCCCTTACATCTGTTTTATATTCTATTTAAATTCATTAAACATGATTTTGATGAACATTCAGTTTTTATTTAAAGACATGAAGCAACTTCAAATTCACAAAGATGTTGGGAGGGAATTTCAAACTTTTTGCCAGTGAGAAATTTGGGGGTAAGAAAATGCCCAATAGTCTCAATTTTTCAGGTTTTTATCATGTGGTTTTACAAAGAAGCACATGATCTTTCATTATTCCAAAGAAAATGGAGAAACATCATTCCATGTACTCTGTATGTTCATTTCAATGTTTAAGTCTCAAAACTGTTCTGTAACGATATGTCTTCAGGAAGAAACCTGTTGTTTGCAGAAAAATCCTCCTTAAACTGTTCTGAAGTGGGACATCTGGGTTCATTGAGCCTGTCCTAAGTTACTGAGGTGAGAAAGCTCTGCAGATGTATCCAGCCTTGCCCAGCCCCTGCTGCTTTGCATGTCCCCAGAGCACAGCCCACCGCCTTCAAACATTTTTAACAAGGTGCTCACACCCTGTGCAGGAGTCAGTCCTAGTCAGGACACAGCATGGACATGAGGGTCCCCGCTCAGCTCCTGGGGCTGCTGCTGCTCTGGCTGCCAGGTACGGAAGGGAGCAATGTGAATTTACTTAGCAGCATGTGGTGAGTGATGCCTGGATTTTCATGGAAGTGTTCTTGTAACATAATCTTGTGAATATTTATGTCTCCAATATCAGGTACCAGATGTGACATCCAGACGACTCAGTCTCCATCCTCCCTGTCTGCATCTCCTGGAGATACAGTCACCATCACTTGCAGAGCCAGTCAGAACATTTACAGTGGTTTAAATTGGTATCAGCAGAAACCAGGGAAAGCTCCTAAACTCCTGATCTATGCTGCAAGCAATTTGGTATCTGGGGTGCCATCCAGGTTTAGCGGCAGTGGATCTGGGACAAGTTACACTCTCACCATCAGCAGCCTGCAGCCTGAAGATGTTGCAACTTACTACTGTGAACAAGGTTATAGTACCCCGCCCACAGTGATACAAGCCATGACATAAACCTCCCAGGCAAGCAGAAGTGTGAGGCTCAGCTGCCCCAACTGCTACTCTTGGTGCCTGCTCCTGACAGAATTTCTCAGATATAAGCAGGCTTTGAATTTCACTTGGAGGTCTTGACAGAAGGGTTAGGGAGGCTCTACTGCACTCTCAGTCTCTAGCTCCTCCTCAGCCCCAAATGAAAACAGGCACGACAGTGCCTCTGCTAATTTAATAGAGGACATTGCTCTGCACAGGTAGGGAGCATGGATTGTGGGATTGCAGCAGCAGAAAAAAATTCGTGCCACAAAGTAGAATCTCTTTCTCTCTTTCTCTCTCTCTCTCTCTCTCTCTCTCTCTCTCTCTCTCTCTCTCTCTCTCTCTCTCTCTCTCTCTCTCTCTCTCTCTCATTTCCCTCTACTTGGAATTAATTCTAGTGTCCCCCAACGGAGCTACATTTCCAACCTTTGCTCTTGCTAATTTACCGAGGCTGAGCAAATACATCTCAGCCTTCTAGAATGCTAGACTACAGACAAGTGACATCATCCTGGCTCAGACCCAGACTATGCGGGAATCAAAGTTAGAGTATAGCTGCTTACTTTCTGTCAATGGAAATTAATGTCTCTGAGCTGAATTACCCAAGATTTTGTAGCCCTATATACTATTTTGCCATTGCTGCCGGATTTGTTTCCCAGGAGACTGGCTGTCCTTCTGAAGTGACCAAAATACACATTATTTTGCAGAGATGATCAGTTCAACCTTCAGAGTCCCGATGACAAGTGAAGAATAATTACATTATTTCCCTATTTTATTGGGAAGCATTACTGAGAGCACTTCTCACCTCCACTAGGCTTTGAAGGTCATGTAGAAGTTTGGTAGAAAGGGGAAGAGAGGCTCCTCTGTACCCCAGCTCTCCTTGCTCCTCCTCAGCTCCATCACAGTGCATCTCCTCATTTAATAAATAGGCTCAATCAATGCACCTGAGGAGTGTGAGGAAAGGCAAGATTTGGGATTCATGGAGCAATGGAAAAGTTGTTAAAATTCCAAGCAGAAGCGTTTTTTCCTTTGAAACAGGATGAATATCTGCACGGTAGCCTTTAAAATGTTCCTAATTAGCTACAATATTCATACATATTTGTGGGGTATGGTATGATCCTTCATACTTGTATGCAATGCACAATGATGAAATCAGTGTAGTTAGCATATCTATTACCTGAAACGTTTGTTTTCCTTTGTGGTGTGCCTTTCAAAGGCTTGAGAAGCCTGAAGTAGAAATGTAGGCTTCTCTGCTCCTCTACTAGCATCCAGCTTGCACCCTCCACAGAAGGCGCAAACTGTCTGGCCACGAGGCTCTCCCACCTGCCTAAGAATCCACGGGTCCTGGTGCTGATGCTCTAGGCTGCCTTGGGGAAGTCACAGATGATTCTCAGTCCTTATCTCTTTCCACATGCCCTACTGCAGGAGTTGATGGATGCTGTAGAATCCTCCCCTTCCGGTTTACGCGTGTCTTTGTGTGGCATTTGGGTCTATGACATGGTAATGAAATCTTAATTCATAAGCTGTTAATAGTTAAGTTTTAATGTACCTAACGACAGCTATGAATTGCAATCTAAAGTACTCACAATGCTGGACATTTGCTGATAACTACTTGTCATTTTTTGTAACCAAACAACAACAGCAACAACAGCAAACAACAAGATAAAACCAGGTTTGAATAGATGTAAGATTGAAGCATCTGTTACACTAAAAACGATGCTTTCACTTAAGTACTGCAGGGTGTCTTCTCATGCGGGGCCACAAGGTGGGGCACTTGCGCAGCAATGATGGCCGAGAGGTTTTGCATGTGTCTCAAAATAATGTCCTGAAGTCCAGACTGATCTGGGATAGTATTGTTAATCCTTCTCCTTTTCATAGCTTATCGTATTAATTCAGAAATAACTTTACATTTCCACCACTGTCCATTTTTCCAGCCTATCCAGTGACCATGAGACAATGGATACTAAGGAATGATTGAGAATGATACAGTAATTAACTAAAAGTTAGCTCCTCATCTCATTCAAGGAGAAGAGTGTATTTTAATCTTAAGAGATTGCTCAGAAGGACAATATTCTTGAAGGTAGGCCCTTCGAGTAAAATAAAAAGAGTGAGGACTAGATCCCCAGAGTGTGGTCTAATTAATGTCAATCCACGTGAGGGCAAAGTTTAAAATTTTCTCTCTCAGGTGGGAGAAAGTTCACTGCTTCACATGCCCCCGAGGGCTACTATTGAGGCTTTGCATACCAGCAGACCAGATTCCCATTTTATCACAGCTACACTCTTTTCCTGGCCCCAGAAATATGATGGACACAGCCTGGCTTCCCAGTTCCCTGTGACTATAGACATGATCTACAAATGACTAAAAGAACCATGGAAAACACTGTATTGCAGTAGAGCCATACCAATGATGACAAAAGTGCCCTAGACATATATAAAGGGTAAAAGGCCAGGCCAGGCAAATAACCAAAGAAAGCCAAGGAAATGATGTATAGAAATATCACACTATTATCCAGAAGATAGGCTGATTTTATAAAGAAAAAATTAAGAGATTCTGCGGTTGAAAAATACTGCAACTGATTTGACAAATTCTATACTTAGAATAGTATAAATGTGGTACTCTCTTTTCTGTGTCTGGCTTACTTTACTTAAACTGTCCTCAGGTTCCATCCAATTTGTCATTAATTAGAAGACAATTATTCTTTTTGGCTGAATAGTATTCTATATGTATATTCTATATTTTTACCCATTTCTCTATTGATAGGCACATGGGCTGGCTACCTATCTTAGCTGTTGTGAAGACTGCCATAATAAATACAGGCATTCAGCTATACGATTCATGTGCTGTTCTATTTTATAAATACATATTCACGATTAAGGGATCATATCGTAGTTCTAGTTTCAGTGTTTTGAGGAAATTCCATCCTGCATTTTTAAGGTGGCTATGCTAATTTACATCCCCACTAACAGTGTCTAAGAGTTACTGTTTTTCTCCAGACCTTTACAAGTATTACTGTTATTTTCCTTTGTTGTTGTTTTGAAATTAATTATTCTACTTGAGGTGAGATGGCTCACCCCAGAAGAAGGTGCTAGGAAATCTGGAAACCCACATGCACAAGGCTCAAACTTGAGCCTTATCTCTCAGACTGTTTAAAAAAAACTTAAAATGAATGAAAGACCTAATGTAAGAACTGATACATGAAACTACCAAACAATAAGAGAAACAAAGATTTTGTTCAAGACAGAATCCTAGTAGCACAGGAAATTGAAGCAAAAATTGACAGATGAATTTATACCAAACTAAAAAATTTCCACAGAGGAAAGAGTGCAGAGTGAAGAAAGAACCTACACATTGGGAAAAAATGTTTGCCAGTTTTTGCTCTGTTTTATTTTGCTTTGCTTTGCTTTGCTTTGCTTTGCTTTGCTTTGCTTTGCTTTGCTTTGCTTTGCTTTGCTTTGAGCAGGATATCACTGTCATTCAGGGAGGCCTTAAACTCATATGTGTAGCCCAGGCTGGGCTTACATCCTGCCTTGGCCTCCGAAGTACTGGAATTATCAGCACAACCACCACCCCTGGTTATTAGGAGCTCTGAATGAACAATAGAATCATTATATTTTTCCTGCTTCCATTATTTGTAATTTCTTTCCTGTAAGAGAAAAATCCTGCCTCCCAGTTTCCACAGTGTATTCATTTATTAGCTCAGTCCTGAAAAACACATAAGGTTTTTGAAAATGGCTGGTGCATACGTCATCACATATGATCTCTTTGCAGAAACTGGAAGCCAGAGGCAGTGGTCTGATCAATTCAAAGCGTTAACAGAAGAAAATAGCCTGTCAACAATAATTCTGTATCTGGAAAAACTGTCCTTCAAAGATGATAAAGAAATTAATATATTCCCAGGTAAACAGGTGTGGAGGTATTTTTATTATCCATACACTTGCCTTGAAAGCTCAAGAGAGTCCAAAGGGTGAAATGAAATGGCAGCAAATGTTACTCAAACAAAGATCTCAATAAAGATGAACGTGTCAGCAATTACAATAGTTACTATGTTGTAATAATGGTTTGTAAGTCCACTTTTTTCAACATGACTTAAGATATGCATATAAATTTAAAAATAGAGATTAATCTAAACTATGTTTACCCATATTTTGTTTTCTATACAGTTTTAAAGACTACTGCACTTAAAAGAATTAGTTTATTTTGGGGATATATAATGTACAAAGAGGCAATTTTACGACATCTCAACAGATGGGAGAGGAATGGAATGAAAAGAGCAGTGAGTTTCTACATGTGGTTGAAGATGGGATACATTTACAGCAGACTGTTATAACTCTAGGATAGGAAGTGTAATCCTGATGATATTCAGAAAAAACAACTATAAAATATAGTATAAGAAGGAATTCAAAACATCTTCGCATTATATATCAGTACTTGTTTACAAGTTTGAATGGAAACTCACCTCTGTGAAAGGGAAGCGTGAGATGTGGCATGGCATGGGAAGCCTTGAAGAACTAACAAGCAAGCAGACGACAAAGAGGAAACATTTACCCCTGTCCCTTCTTCTGCTAGGAAACAGAGACTTGATCTCAGTTTTCCTTGAAACACAGAATACGTCTTACATCACCTTGCCTCCAGAAGAGGTCCCCATCTCCTGATGTCACGCTTTCTAGTTTGCCTACCAGCTCTTCTCACACCACTGCATCCACTGGGGGATTTGCATGGTGTCCCCTAGCAGGTCCTTCCCTTCAACGTTTGAGATAAATCCTCAGCTCTCACCTTGCCTTGATTTATACCAGGATTCCTCAGTTTACTTTCTCAAAATGAGGCTCCCCGCTCAGCTCCTGGGGCTGCAGATGCTCTGCAGCTCAAGTAAGGACAGAGAGAGATAAGGACGGAAGTGAGATGGCTGAGGAGATTTGGAGCCCCTCCATGACCAACTTGTGCTGCATTTTTGTGTGAGGTGGCAGTTCTTTCCCTTCAGTGTAGGGAA